TGCCGCTTTTTTCTGGCTCGGGGCTTTGCCGGAGAAAAGCGCCAGTCTAGATGGGATCTTTTGGAAAATAAAGCCTTTTCCGGAAGATCCCTTATTCCTCTCAAAATCAGGAATTTGCAATTCCGACTTGTCTCATTAGCATCCCTTTTCCGGAAAAGGGTGCCAATGTAGACACAGCCAATATGTCAGAAGCTGGAAATGGGCAACAGAAGAGGGATCACTTAATAATTCCCTGTTCTTTTCATTCTCTCCTGGGCACCTGGCTACACGGACCTTTGGTCTGACCCAGCATGGCCATTCTTACCTTCAAAACCAAAATCCAGTGAAGTCAATGGAACTTCTGTCATTAACTCGCATGGGCAGTGGATCAAGTCCTATGTGAAAATGTGTCTGAGTGAATTTCTACTTCAAATGTGCATAGCAACACAGTGCCCATCTTCCACTGGCGAAGTGATTACTAAAAGGCATTTTTTGTGCCAAAGCAACACAGTCAATTATCATCAGCTTTGACATACTGCCGCCAGAGGTTAAGAAATTCTTTACTTGTGGCTGAAAAGTACCCACAAAGGTGCAAAATTCTTTCCTGCCATTAAAACATGACACAGTCATAAATTACTCCCTGCCTTGTTTATACAACCAGTAGCCGAGTGAACTGTGTAAACAAAGGGACACATCAGCATTATTTCTTTGACTATGCCTACACAGCACTTGGAAGCGTGCTTGACCTAGGCAGCTAAAAATAGGAGTGTGGCCACTATGGCAAGGATATAGCCAGTGGATTGGGAGGGATTGCGTTAGGGTGGTGAGACTGAGGCGCCACTATGGCCACCCAGCTATTTTTAGCTCATTAGCTCTCCTTGAGGCAGCATGTCAATCTACCTGTGCTGGGAAGCATTCCTCAAGCTGCTGGACTGACATACACTTTTTATTTTAGAACACTCCATGAGCTGATTTCCTGTCATTCAAGAGCAAGTAAATGAAGGATGGTCCCTGCTCTGAGATCACATGTCATAGCAGCCAAGCACAAAGAGATTAGGAAAAGGGAAACAACAGAGGGAACTTGTTAACAAGATTGAATAGATTTACTATGGGCAGCACAGCAGAGGTGAGTTTTTGAGAGAGACTTAAAAGGACACGATCCTTGCAGACTGGACTAGGAGCAGGCATGGAAGCAACTGCAAGGAGCAGAGGAACAGACAGACAAGGTTGGGAATGCTGGCAGCACAGGCGGAAGTAAAGCACATGTGGAGGACTAGATTTTGGAATGATGGTTTCACCAGCATAGAAGAACAAGCAATGGAGATGGTGAGCAGTGAAAACAATTTCACAGTAGTTAGCGCCCTTGTCCTTCAATCTGAAGGAGGACTTTTAGGGTTGTTTACCTCTCTCTCCTCCTACCAAAAGGTGAGATACCATAGCATGTATCAACTATAAACAACAAGAAGACATGATCAAAATGAAGGAAGGAGCAACATAATATTGGGAAAAACAAAAGCTGCTCTACTACCTCCCTTTCCAACAAACCAACATGCCTTATTTAAAACAAATAAACACCACAGAGGTTACGTCTAAAGCCAAAAATAAACACACAAATAAATAAATAAATAAATAAATGTCACAGCAACAAAGAATTTGTTTTGTTTGGATGATTACAGTGCATTTTCAGTGCAGAATGCAGGGGATTAAGCAGACAACTTCCATTAACAGCTAGGTCAATTTCCCATTCTGAGCTGGAAGCACAGATCAGACTCTATATATTTAACAGTGTGTACTTGTTTGAAAATAGATAAACTAAGAAAAGGAACCGAGAAAACATATAAGAAGAAAAGTCAGAAATAGTATAGAAAAACCTTAGGAACTTTTTGCAAATTTAATCCAATGGGAACTGAGCTCCACTTCCTTTTGGGTTTAGATATTGATTTTATAGAGGAATTTTTTGACATTTTAGGTTTCTTAAATTAAAAAAAAAACAAAAACCCTTTTCTCTGCCTTCTCAGTCTATCCAAACGGAGAATGGAAACTCTAAAGCAGCCACAGAGGCTATGTCTAGACTGCAAGCCTCTTTCGAAAGAGCCTCTTTCGAAAGAGAGCGTCTAGACTGCACACGGAACTTTCGAAAGAGCAAGCCGCTTTTTCGAAAGAAAGCACCCAGTGAGTCTGGATGCTCTCTTTCGAAGAAGCCCTATTTACATTCAAGAACGCCTTCTTTCGAAAGAAGCACTTTCGAAAGAAGGCGTTCTTCCTCGTGAAATGAGGTTTACCACCGTCGAAAGAAAAGCCGTGTTCTTTCGATTTAATTTCGAAAGAACGCGGCTGCAGTCTAGACGCAGGTGAAGTTTTTTCGGAAAAAGGCTACTTTTCCCGAAAAAACCCCTGAGTCTGGACACAGCCAGAGGTTCTAACTTCTCCAAACATTTTATAGCAGTGATTTTTAAAAAAATGAAGATAGTTTGGGTTCACCCCATTTGAACACTCAAACACTTAGATTTTACAACTAACAAATTCTCATAAAGTATGGGACAACAGCAGGGCCACACAGGGGTGTGTAGGGTCTAGGCCAAAATCAGAAACTGGACCACCCCCTGCAACCCTGAATCTGAGGCCCCAATAGCACGGGGGGAGGGAGGGCAGAAATTGAGCTCAATCCACACTCATCCTGTACTGGTGGCCCCTGTCCCTTGGAGCTGGGCCTGGATCCCTACTCCTGGTGTTGCAGCCTGTTACATGGAGTGCCAGGCCACTTGGACCCCACCCCCTCCTGGGTAGTGCTGGACAGTGGTACCATTAAAAAAACTAAGAGGGTTACTTACATCGTTGACAAAGAGACAAGTGTATTGAATGCTCCAGGAGTGATAGTGGTGATGCGGTTGTCGTACAGCGAGAGCAGTCTTACGGAGCTTAGTCCTGTGAAGGTGTCATTGTTCACACAGCTGATCAAGTTGCTTCTCAGCATCCTGAAAAGATCCAGACATAGAATTAGAATACTTCTTGGGACTATCGTGCTGTGGGGAGGGCTAATGTAAGGGCACAGTACCAACCAACTGCCATTTCTAACATCCATCTTTTGTAATACAGGAGACTAAGGCTATGTCTACACAGCAGAGCTGTTTCAGGATACTGGAGGTATCCCGAAATAGCAATTCCGCATCTTTAAATGCGCCTTTTATTTCAAAATATATTTCAAAATAACAAGCGCACTATTCCGGCATCCTTGTAGCCCTCATTCCACGAGGGTAAAGGGATTCACTGAAATAGCGCTTTACAGGCAGTCCCCGGGTTACGTACAAGATAGGGACTGTAGGTTTGTTCTTAAGTTGAATCTGTATGTAAGTCGGAACTGGCGTCCAGATTCAGCCGCTGCTGAAACTGATCAGTTTCAACAGCGGCTGAATCTGGATGCCAGATTCAACTTAAGAACCCCAGGTGTCCCCAAGTCAGCTGCTGCTGAAACTGATCAGCAGCT